ATGGTTAAATAACACTTTGAGTTACAGGAGAAACTGAGTCCATATTGTGCCCATTTTTTAGCACAGATCCTTCTACGTATCTCTATTAAAAAGTACTTTGAAACACATACTCATGAAAACATGGCAATCAAATACCACCCCCAGTATGCAGCTATGGGTTACTCCCATAATAAGCACATTTTCATGGTCTAACATATATGGCAGCGACTTCAAACTAACACAGTAGGCAACACTAGTTTAATGAATGTCAAGAAAATCTCTCTTGCCTTTGGAGAGAAAGAAATACTGGCTTCCGTATCAGAGAACATAATTTCAAGCCCAATCTCCAGGCAAAGGTGTCCCCTACACTGCAATTTCACCTTCATTACTATTGCAAAATGGAACAAATTGTTGCATGACCCCTACATGCAGACAAAACAAAGTTTTCTTTCCACAGCCAAGTTATCTCACATTCAACATCCCACAAAGAATAGAACCACACTATCATCACACTGAGGAATCAATGGACTCCTAAGACAGTAAGGGATAAAAAAAAAACACACCCTAGCATCCAGCTATTTATAACATGATATATTAGTCCTGCTATTTTTTTTTAAACCATGCAAGCCAAAAGATATAACATTCATGTGTCGTAATAGTGATTCATAAATTTAAGCGCATACAATGCATTTATGTAAACTATAGATAGAGGATCTTCCAGAGAAACAGGAAGACCTTTCCTGACGGCTGGGCAAAGCATGCCCCAGTATTAACACACCAAATGAACAACTGCCTCTTGAGCGACTCGGAGAACAAATACAGGATACCTGGTAATAATACCACATCCCCACGCATTAGCATGGGAAGACAAGCACTTTTCAGACTCACATATAATGACAGCCCATAATGCAGGCCAAAAGAGAAGAATTCGCCAGACTCTTGCTGTATTTCTGCCCTGCCATGTACAGCGTTGGGCAAGTAATGACTTTCGTGTGCCTCAGTTTCACAGTAGCTAAAGGGAGGGTGAAGCTATCTTGATTCAGAGAAGTAGAAGCTGTGACAGGACACCGTAGCGCTGGGGTCAACTGAATCTGTCCATTCATAAGAAGGGTGGCGGTGGGGCCTGGCACAGCCTGGCATCCTGCTGAAAGCGGCACCCCGCGTGTTGCAGAGCCCTGGGGAAGGAGGCCCAGGCGTAAAAGGCACCGCTAGCTCCTACCCTAGGGAACGTGAGGAAATGCTCTCCCCCACCCGCGGCAGCTTTAGAGAAACCGCCCGCCGAGGGATCACCCTCGCTCCCCCACTTCCTCGGCCTCCCACACCGACACCCCACTCCCCTCGTCCTGGCATTGCGCCCCTCGCCCCCAGCACACGCCCTCGCCCACGGAAGGAGGTCCAGCCTCACCGCTCGAGGAGGAAGCAGCTCGCCCGGGGGAGCTGCGCCCCGGCCGCAGAGGGGCAAGCCCTCCGCATTCCCTCAGAGAGCCAGCCATCCTCACCTACACCTCCCGCCCCTGGGCCCGCCACGGGCCCCTCGGCCCGGGAAAGCCTTCGGGGAACCCCGGCACTGCCCGCACCCACCTCGAAGAGCTCGGCCGTGGTGGCCATGGCCGCAGGGAGGGCGGCAGAGCACCTCCTTCAGCAGCCCACCGCCAGCTCGCCGATGCCGCCCATTGTGTTCCACAGCACCAGCCGCCGCGGCACCGCCTCCACCCGCCGGAAATGGGCTTGCGCCGGGCAGTCGCCGCCGCGCGCAACTGCCGGCTCCTCCCTGGCCGTGGCCGCCCCTCTGCAGCTGATGGGCTCCCTTTAGCGCCGCATCGGCGCCGCAATAGCTTTGCGAGCAGTGTGGCTCCTCAGGTATGATCTTGGGGCTAGCGGAGCCGTGCTCTTCTATGGGTAAGGGCAACGCACCGGGATGGGGGCCTGTGACGACTGGGGAGGCGGGAGTGGGCGCAGGCCCGGCAGCCAGGGTAGGCTCGCGGGCCGGGCCGGCGTGGGTGTCCCCTGGGATCCGGAGCGCTGTGGGGCGGCCGGCGGCGGTAGCTGGGAGTTCTGGCCTCTTTGGCAGGAGAGAAAGCTGGCGGGGTCGTGGCAGCTTTAGAGAAACCGCTGCTGCCTCGGGTTCTGAAACGTGCAAAAAATACCGAGCAGTGTGATGCTGACTGAATCCTTTCAGCAGCATCAGCGCGCTGCTGGCCGCTGTCCTTTTCTGATTAATTAAATCTTCCTTTTTTTTTCTTTTTTCCCCCTAAGTTCTGCAATTTGTACGTGACTTTCTTTTCACTCTTCCTCTTTCTGTAAAGATTTTACCTAGCTCTTCTCTGCCCTGACGTGGAAAAGGGCAAGGTGGAAATTACTAAATAGTCAGATGAAAGTGGGTAAAGTAGAAAGCATGCATTTTTCTTATATTCTCTTCTTGTATTGTTCTGTAACTAAAAAATGGTGTTTTCAATCAGAAATGTAACCTTTGATTTGATTTTATTTTTTTGCATACGAAGACAGGTGTTATTTTTTTTAAGTTAGTGGAGGAGTCCACTAAGTTTTCCAATGCAGGGCTTTTTATTCTGAACTGTGTAAGAGTTCTAAGTAAGACTTTGGGCTAGGCAGGCTGCTTTTGTTGGTCTGCCAAAATTTGTTACTATTTCAGAGGACGCGGAGGAGCAGAAAAATAACTGGGGTTAGGGAAATGAAAAATGTTGAGACCTGATTAAAGAGACGTGATCTGCAGTCCTTGTCTGGATTCACTAAAACTGAAGAAGGATGCAAAAAAACCCAACCAAAACAAAAAGAGCAAGTAGGCTATCTTCTATTTTCAGGTGCAGACAGATCTCTGCATCAGACATTCCTCTCATTGTTTTAGGATTAGTATTATGGTCCTTGTATTACCTACAGGACCAGAGGTGAGGCCTCCCCTCTACAAACACAGAGAAAGAGAAAGCCTTGTCCCCAAAAAACTGAGAGTGTAATCACCACGGAGGAAGAGGGGGCTGGTGACGGGGGTATGTGAAGTAACTTGTTACACAGTAAGTGGCAGAGACAAGGAATAGTGCTCCTTTGAAAAGGGCAAACTATACTTGATACTTCAAGTGACTTCCAGACTTAGATCTTTCAAGTTCCCAGAGGAAATAATAGGGCTGTGGAAACCCCAAGTTTATCCCCCTGACTGACCTTAAATTCAACAAAGCATGCAGACAATATAAAGAATGCCAGATCACATGGAAACTGTTGGTTTCAGGACTCACGCACTCAGCTGGAGATACGTGAGCCCTGATCTTTAACCTCAGAGAAGACATCTGAGACATCAAAGCATTCTGCTTTTCTTGAGCTGGTCATAACTTAATTCGGGCAACAAGTATGGTCTCTCTTGAATCACCAAAGCTCTTTCATCCCTGGAAACTTTAATCTTTTTAAGTTTTCATCGCTTTCTAGAAGTGAATACTGAAAAACTGAGATCTGAACGGCTAACTAATCATCTAATTACTCAGCTAAAGCTAGGAAGATTCAGTGAGAGGAGGAAAAGATCGATGTGGGATGGGAGACAGCTTCAGCAAATGGAGCAGACAGATAGGGACATAAGTAAGACAAAACTAGGCTGAAGTATTTCCCCTTCCTTTGTTTTGGAAACACTGGCGAAAAATAACAGATGCTTACTGTGATAAACACATAAATGTATTGGCTTTCGCAAATCATAGGTGTTGCTATGTGAATATAACTGTATGAGTTCGCGAAGCTCGCTAAAGACACAAGATTAGACAACAAGTTGAAAATGGCCAGAACTGTTGAGCAAAATGGAGTCACATAGCAACAGGCTAGTGCCTGGAAAACATAGGGTTAAAGTACTTTTAGCCTAACTTAGGTTGAAGACAAAGAACAATGTTTGTGTTGTAAGTCTGTGGAATTTAGTGGCCCCACTAAACATGAATGAATGATTTCACACCATCCTTCTCTTACCAGTTAGTTTAGAGACAGTGCCTCCCAAACATCTGCTGGCTTTGGATACTCCTTGTCTGCCCATCCTGCAATAAATTTTGCAGGAAGGTCACACTGTTCTAAATCTTTGCCAGCTATCAGAAGAATTACAGATACGGCTGGTTTCAGCTAGTTTTGTGTTTACTAGGGCATCCAGCTGTGCCAAAGATGAAAAGTCCACTGTGAGGAAGACTGCTTACTTCATCCTCAAGACCCCTGCCCACAGTCACTGGAGAGCAGCACGCAGATGCCAAGAGAAGACGTATGATAATAAGTTCCTGGAGTGGTTATAATATTCCCTGCCTACATGTGGTAATTATGCATATGTATATGACTAATGCTATAGCAAAAATATATAAACCTGTAATAAATCAGTGCGCCTCTGGCTATGGTCACGTGTCCAGCGCTGTTGCTTTTGCTTTATTGACTTTGGTGTGTAACCTATTGTCGTGGTTTAAACCCAGTCAGGTAACTTGTTCACTCACTCCCAGTGAGTGGTGCCAAGCTGACAACAATCAAGGTCCGTGTTCGTCTCCCCCCCCCTCCCTGCACCGGGGCTCTCCCCTTCCCCGCTCCCGGAGGAACGGGGAGGAGGATCGAGAGAGTGCAACTCCTACGGGTTGAGACAAGAACAGTCCAGCAACAAATCACCACCGCTACTATCAGCTAAAACAATGATAAGGGAAAATAACAAGGGAAGAGAATACGATACCACCGGCCAAGAAAACGAGTTCCACCCGGAAGCCCCTGTCCTTCCGGGCAACTCCCAGTTACCCCCCACCCCGGGCATGACGTGCTGTGGTATGGAATACCTCCCCGGCTAGCCCGGGTCAGGCGCCCCGTCTCTGCTTCCTCACAGCTTCCCCTCCTCCCTGGCAGAGCATGAGCCTCACAAAGTCCTTGGTCAGGGTAAACATCACTTAGCAACAACCGAAAACATCGGCTTCACCAACGCTGTTCTCAAAACTAGAAGTCAAAACACAGCACTGCACCAGTTAACACAAAGGAAAAAACATGACTGCTACTGCTGAACCCAGGACACCTATGCTCTTTGAAGGTTGTGAATAACTACTAAGAGAATCCAAAATAGAGAAGATAAAAAAGCAAGCCTGTTACAAAACTTAATGTAAGAGAGACTCACGGGAGTCTGAAGTTCCAAAAAAGGATGAAAACCAATCCATTTGTAGAAGTAATAATTTTTCTTTTCTCAGCTGTTTATTAAAAGACAAATTCTTAGTTCCTCTTGATAATTTTAGGTTAGCTTGAGAAGAAATTCATCCTTCTCTCCTTTACAAGTAATACTGCTTTAAACGAAAAAATCCCAGGCACAGCATTAAACAGCTAGTATAATTTTTCTCAAATATTATCTCTAGGAAATTTAAAATTAAATATATACATGGATGCAACATAGCAATTTTAAAATATACAAAACTCTGTGTCTCTGTGACATTATGATTACTTAAATACTTGAAAAAATGAAATGATGAAACAGTCATAAAAGCTTAAAGTCACATATACCGCATATGCAGTGTGGAATCTGTTTTGCTTCTCTCCTTCCAGTCCACGCAGCCCATGCCAGAAAAATTGACTTATGTACAGTGAAATGGTGTTGTATTTATAATACTGTAAAGATTTTAGTTAATCTCATTGATCAATTAAAGCAACTGCTGCAGATTAGTTGTGTAAGTTCAAAACAGCAGTGGTATATTAGCATACTATAGTTAGGCAAAAAGCTGTTGTATTTGGATTTTATTATGTGGGACATCTGTTTTCTTAAGTGTCTGAAAACTTGTCTTCTTGACTGTAATTTCACCTCTTAGAAATAGTTTGCTGTTGCAGTTTTGCTGCACTGGTGTGAGTCATGCTTGGGTTCATTAGTGTTGTTTAAACATCCCATACCTTTGTGCAACAGGAATGGTAGACGGGTTCACATTTTATCTAAAAAATGAATGAATACATTTGCTCAAAGTTCTCAGGAAAAATCCACCTGCTATAATGAATCCTAATGACTTGTGAAATAATTTTATTGTCAGTGATTTAGATCACTGTTCCTGTCACTGTTTCTATCAGGATGCTGCTGGCTTCCATTTACACAAGGTTCCTTTTAGCACCAGAGGGGCCTTTAGGAGTTACTTGAATACTGAAAAGAAACCCATCCTTCATTATAACAGCGGATTGTGTGGTTGGTGTGATAATTTGGGTGGGAAAAGATGAGCAGCATTAAGATGTTCTTATTTCCATGTCACAGATGTTACCCTGCTGTTGAAGTGCATGCTAAAACCTTCAGCGGGTCAACACATGCCTGTACCCTCTGAAAGTGCTCTTCTTAAAGCCTTGCGTTTTGAACTGGAGCTCACAGATGACCATATCTTCATGAAGCATCTAGATACTTGTACCCAAATCAATCATTCATTGGTGTATTCAGTTTGCACCAAAGGAGGGGATCTCTGGCCCATGCTTGCTTTTCAGAAGAGTGGTCCAATATATGCATGTCTTCCAGTAGTTGAGGAGACCTTGGAGCCACAGCCACCCCTCCTCACCGTTAGTGGGCTCTTGCAAGGACTGGCTTTTTTGTTAGGCATTGTGGGCTACATCTCTTCAAGTTGGAAAAATGAAGCTGAGTGTGAAAATAGGCAAGCTTCAAAATTTGCTTATACAGACCTGTTTGGCACCCCCTTAAACACAAACATACATAGTTTAAACAGCTGGTTTGATGACATTCAGGAAATACCTACAGATAAGAATCAACTGGCTTGGAGATCCAGCAATATAAAGGCAAACCTCAGGTGAACGTCTGTATCACTGAAAAAGTCAAGTGTATGCAGTATGACACAAGAGATGTTATGTACATGTAGCAAGTTTGTGGAACTGTAAATTGCAACATGAAAGCATTTTATGTGCAAGTCTGATCAAAGTATTTTTCATACAAGCACACTGGGAAAGTAAGTACTTATGCCATTTTACTTTGGGATGTGAACAGTGAATTTTAATACTGTAATATTTCAAAGTATAATGAAATATTACTTCTTAGACTGATGTGTTAGTGTTCTTTATTTTGATCTTTACTGATTTTTTTTCCTGCATGCTTCATGCATTTTTTCAGTAACTATTTATGGGACTTAAATGTCCAGCATTCCAGGTTTTCATTGTTTAATAATACAAATTGGGGAATATTGACTAAATAGATCAATAATAATTATGAAATACATTAAAATTTGTGTTTTCTATAATTGATGTATTTAACATTCGTTCTGAATTATGCTTAGGAAGCACACTGTGTTGTCAGAGTATTTGTCAGTGTTTCGAGAGGAGAAAGGCCTAATAAAGTGGATCATGACAATTCAGTTAATTGCAAGAGGTGGGATATTCATCTCTGAAGGAAGCTAACTGAGCTTTCAAAGACTGGGCTATTTCCCATCAGTGATGCTGGTAGGAATTATAAGGGTGTACAGCTTCTTGCTCTCAGAGGGACAAGTTTCTAGGTCATCTTGCAGAGGGGATGGCCTTACATAAGAAGAAAGCCCTGGTGTAATCATTCACTGCTGAGCTGGCACACAGAGAGATGAGACAATGGATGTGCTGCACATGGTTGCTGTGGGAAAGCTGACTTGGGACCACAGTGGCCATTAATAGCATGCTTGAATACGTTAAGCGGATGTTGTAAAAGTAACAGAATTAATTAGACTGTCAGCAAGCATGTTTATGTAACATTTGTCATATTGTAGCTATACATTAGTCCTTGGTTTGCTTATCTGTTTTCTTGCTAAAGAGTATTTGCTGATTAAGAGACTGCATCACTAGCCTTACCACATGGGAAAGGCTACTGAAATGGGAAAGGGACTTGGTTTTGACAGTATTTGTTGGTATTGATATTTGAAGCCAGCTGAAAATTTTTAGTGTGATTTTATTATTTTTTCTTCTAATGATTATGTTTGAACATCTAATTCTGATTTGAGGGAGTTAATCTAAAGTAACTTGACTTCATTTTTCAAGTGTGACATAGAGGGATCTGCACCAAACATAACCCTCAGCTTGAATCTCCCGACTAATGGTCCTCCACTCCAAGATATCGTGGTCCATCATTTTGTGACTTCCATTGACACTGCCATGCTGATGTCCAGTAGTGCCGAATCACTGTGTACAATGGACCTTACAAATTTCCTTTCATTCTTCCTTCAGATTCCTTCAATTTGTTTTACTACACTTCCCGGGTAATAACATCCCTGACGCTTGTTATTTTTGAGTCTTCAAGCAGGGATAAAAATACTTGTATTGTTGAACATGTCTGAATGAGTTTCAGTCTGATAGAGGCAGGTAATGTGTTTTTTATATTATAAACTGCTTGGAATGCAATTGAGTCATCTGAATCACATTCAGGAGGTGCCAGTACCTTTGTTTGGCATGGCTGCTCTTACTTTAAATGAACTATTTAGATGCCTGAATTTGAAAAATATATCCAGGCTGAGATATGTCAAGTGCATATACCACAAGTCTGTGTATCACAAATAGCCTGAAGAGTAAAACAGTATATAACTGATCTTATGATGATGGTGTTAACTTATCTTGAGAATTAATTTTTTTTTTTTTTTTTTCCCCAGGTTCCTGTTCCACCAATTTTGGGATTTTATCAACTTGTTGAGGAGTGATCACAGTTAAAAATAACAGTTAATTTAAAGCTTCATGAAAGCATAAAGAATATTTTGAGTACTGCAAAGCTTGTATAACTTTTTTCAACAGGTAAGAATAAAGAAATCCTAAATAAATTTATTCCATTTCTCTGTAATCTTCCTGAAATAAACCTGTCAGGAGTCAATATAATAGATTATGGTCCATCAAAGTACTACCAGTGGATAGTGGACTTGCGGTGTTCTGATGCCCACTTGGAATTCTTGTAATTTCCAGAAAACAGAATTATACCAGAATATTTGGTAATGTTCTGAGTACTTCTGTTGTGCATCTCGTTCCCCCATGGTATTTTCTCACTGGAAATACTGCCGCAATCCCAGGTGGATTAAGTCTCAAGATTACTTCCAACCCAGGGCTACCTGTTCCTTAAGACTGCTAATCCTAGCTACAGATCAGTTTATCAAAAATATAGTTATTTAAAATTAAAACAATAGTTTTCATTTAAGCCTTTCGGACAACTGCCATGACTACGCTATCACATAATTATCATGAAAATTTAAAGATTAAATGATACCAAGTTGCTGATGCTGATCATACTGTTAGTAAAACACTATCAGTGAACTAAGGACAGTAAAACATCATTAGCTCTTCTTTGATTACTAGGTTGAGACTGTGGTGATTTCTTCCTGCTCTGTAATTTTTTTTTTGTTTTTTTTCATAAATTAGCTGTGTGCTCAGGTATGATTTGTTTCTGTGCACATAAATAACGTCTTTCAGCATTATGCTGCTTTCTTTAACAAAATGGTGTTAGCAAATACTGAGCGATACTAGTTCCAATGGTTTTATTTATTCTCTCCTACTGTAGGGGCCCAATCACTCTGTTAGAGTACAAGGTTGTGTTATGGCCAACTGGATTTGTCTCAAGAGAAGAGCCTACTGGTTTGGGTCATTGCTAAGCAGAATACCCGTGTTACTTCCTCCCCTAGTCAGTTTGTACAGTGCAAGCAGAGCTGTGTAATTTCTTATAGATGCTGTTTCTGGCTTTAGGACAGAAGTTCCCTAAATCTTTGAAAGTTTCTCTGACTGGAACTGTGGGTTTTGGCACTGCAGGCAAAGAGCACCCAACTGGTTATATTTGCACTGAGAATGCTGCTTACGTGAAAGCAAATTGCTAACTCTGTGAAAAGAGGACTTAGTAGTAATTTATGTTATTATCTTAAATTGTCTATGAAGATACCCTGATTTAAAATCATACCTAATTATTAGCCTGTTTGTTCTCAGCATGGAGTTTTTTGTTTTCTTGCTTACAGGATTTGATGTCCTGTCATTTTGTAGTATGTTTGCACATCAAGAGCATGTAACAGATTGCCCATATTTACACAGCAAGCATGACAATATGCATTTAATCATGTTTTCCCTCTCTTTCTGTAGTTGTATTTTAGAATCTCAGACTTTACACTTACTGGATGTTATGTGCCCCAGCATCCTGTTCCGATCTTTGTACCAGGAAAACCCCAAATTACTGCATGTGAGTTGCTAAAAATGTCATTTATTTAACTGAAACTACGTATTGAAGTTATGAACTGGATGTCAGTGACTAAAATTATGTAGCTAATGTTGGACAAAGCTCTTTCCTGTTTGCTTGGGATATCTCAGAAATTTTGTTCTCTGCTTTGTACTTTTGTGTGTGTGTGTGTGTGTGTGTGTGTGTGTGTGTGTGATGCTTAAAGTGTCCCTGGAATAAGGACTGGCATCTTGCTTGAAGAACACTCTTATTGCTCAGTTACAAAGTCATTCTGTCCCTTGGGCTCTTTCTCTTTCACCCTGTAATGTTTTACTATGCTCTGCATAATGGCAAAACTTCTATGGGGTGGGGGGGCAGAGAATGACTCTCTGCGGTCTGGCCCCTTATTTTTGATCCTTTTGCTTGATGTGATAGATGAATTGGGAATATCCAGCTACAGAACTCAGCTCCTGCATGGAACATGTGACTGTTGCTGTCAGTGTCCCCTCACCAGCATCCCTTGGTGGTTGTGGGCTTACATGAATCTGGAGCAAAAAACAGATCGACTTATTCTTGAGTTAACACATGACTACTTCCAAGTCTCACCAAAAATACACTAATTTGGAACATAGTAAGTACACATTAAATCTGAGCAGTACTAATGGAAGCATTTTTATTTGTAGCAGTCTATCTGTTGCAGCTGCTGTCAGTCATGTTAGCTGAGTCTGTAAATGCCTTTTGAAAACTATGGTCTACACTGCTAATTTTGTGACAGGTCATATTCAGTCCTGAATTGTAACACAAAAAAGAGTTTTTTCGTACTGTATGGTTTATATCAAGTATGCAATTTATATTCATTGAACAGAATCCAAGCCATCCCTCTGCTTTTGATTTAACCTCTGTTTGAATTTTAAGCTTATGAGCGATACATTAGTAAACGTAATTGAAGCTGATACTTTAAATGTCTCATTATCAGAAGCTATTTTCAAATAATAGTAAGAGTCTTAGCAGGTTAAAGAGGCCATTATACCTTTTCTGTAAACTAGTAAGGATGGATTAGTAGTCTCTCAACTTGGATGAAAGAACATCTAATTGTAAGGCACCTTGTAATGATTATTTTTCTTGCCTTTTTTTTTCTAGCCTGGGATCTTCTTTCTTCCAGTTACTACATCTGGAATTCCAAAGCACCAGCACCTGCATTTTTTTACACCGTAGACTTGATTAATTTTCCTATGACTGATTTTTGCATTTAAACAAAGCAGACAGCTAATGAGAGTAGCATCATGATACAGTGAAAAGAAATGTTTTCCAGCACTTTGTATTTTGTATGTTTGTTTAAAGATTTCTGTTAAGGAAAAACAGAAGTCACTTGTCTTAAAAATGTAAGTTAGTCTTAAATCAGTTAGTCCTGTGTAAGAGTGTAGAGAAGACAATTTGAAACGTACTTGCCACAGCCATTTTTACTTTACATTCTAACATTAACTGGTACAAAATAAGTACCTAGTGATACAGATACAGACTGGTATGATTGTGCTTGTCTTTTGGGAAGACTCCCAATTACTTCATTGGTTTTGTATGCCAGACAGCTCACAGGACGTGAATGCTGTCAGTGTCTTATTCCTGTCCTGAATTCACAAGAATCTGATTAGATTAACAGGACAGTTAAAAGCAAGAGTGCATACAGAATACATACAAGTCAGTAATTTACAAGAATTTTGAGAGGGGGAGTATGACACAATCAGCACTTCTGAAAAAGGAGATGATGCAGCAGTCTTTTTGCCTCTGTCAGAAGTGGCAAGTCCCCTTTCACATGTGCTGTGAAGTGCGAGGTGTGAACCTGGTTTTTAAAATCATGAGACTGGCTCCGAGCAGACTGTACCAGCTAAGTCTGCTGGATGTTCCAAAAACATCACTGAACTTTTTTCCTTGGAATGATAGGTGGAAAAGGACTCAATTTACAGAGGCAGACCTCTGATTTTGAGAAGAAAATTGGTATCTGCAGGAGCACTGGAAATGAACTTTAAGAGAGTTATCAGGAAATGAGCAAATTCTGAGAGGCTGGTGAAAAACAGAACCTGGAGGGCAGCACAAAAGAAGAGGAGAATGCTTTCTAGTAACTGAGCATGCTGGCTATGCCTGCCGTACCTCTTGTTTAACTGTATGCTGTGTGATAGATAAGATTAGTGATGACATAAGGAGAAGAGTTTTAAGTTATAGTTTAAAAAATGCTTAGATTGAGATAGTAATTTAATTGGTTGATTAAAAGTTCTGAAGGGTGGATTAATTAATTTGAAACATGCCATTCAGTTCAGACTGCTGTGCAAATTTGTAAAACAGAGCTGTGCTGCTGTGACCCATTTTACACAGGTGATGTGTTGTAGAATCATAGGATAGTTACAGTTGGAAAGGACCTTAAGATTATTTAGTTCCAGCCCTCCTGCCATGGGCAGGGACACCTCACGCTAGACCATGTTCCTCAAGGTTCTGTTCAACCTGGCCTTGAACACTGCTGGGGTGGAGCATTTGGGCTATCTGTTCAGTGCCTCACCACCTTCATAGTAAAGAACTTCTTCGTTACATCTAACCTGAATTTCCCCTGTTGAAGTTTGAACCCATTACCCTTTGTCCTATTGCTACAGCCCCTGCTGAAGAGTCCCTCTTCAGCATCCTTGTAGGCCCACTTCAGATATTGGAAGGCTGCTGTGAGGTCTCCAATGTGTCCATTTTGATTAGCAGACAACAGGTGAATTAATGATTTTGCCTAGAACCCAGCCACTACCTGTTACAGCCATCTGCATGCCTGAACACCACAAAGTCAGTGGAGAGAAAGGGTCTCTCTATTCGAAGGGTTAAGATAATTTTCTGTACACCAGGCACCCACCACACAGGTGGTGTTTGCATTCCACCCGTAAGAAAGATGAGAGCTGTCTGCTCTGCACAGCAGCCCTATGGAGGAATGGCTTCTTCACCTTCACAGGTTCACAGATTATTCCTCAGTAAATGCTGTGAGGCAATGGGACTGTCAAAATTCACACTGCACTAGAAGACACCTTGTGCTTAATAACAGGGGTTCCCTCCCAAATCATGATCCTTTTTGCCTCCCTCTTGCCCATGTCTAGCTCTCAAGGTTAGGAGAACAGCAGTACTCGGGAATGGAGGCTGCTGCTCTAGATTACTTTGCACACGCCTCTCAATGCAGGTTTGGATGGAGGGAGGGAATGGATGATGTTTCTCTTCTAGCCCTGAGCAGTTTTCTGCAACTTCATGCAAGCCATGTGCAGTCTTGGGCAACATCTGTGAGACACTCATGCTGATGGAGACAGTCAGACAAAGCTTTTCTCCTGATCTGATGACTATGCTTGTCCTTGGGAAGGGGAAGGGTCCATTCTCATGGAAGCTTCGTAAATCTTAGTAAGCTGGTAAACTGGTAAAGTAAGCTCAGTAGTGAACTCAGTCAGCTTCATAAACCACATAAAATCAGAAAAATATCATTGAGAGCTCGCTTGAGCTTGACAGAGGTGGCATCTAACAGTAGTTCTGGTGGGCTTTAAAGATGATTGAACTCTTTATCAGTGGTATTCATTTAAAAATAAAAACTTTAAAAAATCAAGGTTGTAAAATGAGTTTTTTTAAAACAACAGTTTCTTTGATACAACAGTTTCTTTAAAAGTACTATACATCAAAGGGAAAAAATAAGAATTCTGTTGTGGTACAGAGGGCTGTTTCTTCCACAAGACTGGAAGTGCTTATAATTTCATCAGAGGTATAGGCTATATGATATCTGTTCAGATAACTTTGCACAAAGACTTCAGAAGAGTTGGCTGAGGAGTTCTCCAGAGTTAGTATTCATTTCAGAGAGCTAGAAGAAAAGTAACATGCACATAATTGGAAAGAATAAACATATGGATGTAAATAAATACTGGGTTGTCAAACCAACATTTTCCCAAACAAAATAATGGGTATAAATAAGTTAATGCAGAACCACATTAATAAAATGATTCATGTCATTCAACTTTTGGGGTAATTAAATAATGACAATTAGAATGAATTTAAAGCAAATGTATACTGCCAAAACTTTCTGGATGAGACTGCACACTTAGTTGGCAAAGAGAATTGATGTAACAGACCTCTAAGAAATTAAAATAATGCAAAATCTATGTATAACTCACTAAACACGGTAAAAACTGGCTGACATTTCCAAATGGGAACCATCATCAAACATGTTTAGGAGCCCAACTGTGTTATTTAATACATTATGGAAGGAAATGAAGTTCCTAGATGATGCAATGGCTGAGAAGCAGCTATTACTGAAGCTGTCATAGCCCTCATTCAAAGCCTGATAGTCTGAATATTTCAGGGGGGAAAAAAAATCAGTGGTCCAGGACAAGCAGGTACAAAGGTGTGGATCTGAGAACAGATGCCATCAATACAGGGTGGACCAAGGAGTGTCACAAAGGCCTAATATGTGGCTTAGGCATCCATTGCTGTGGCCAGAAGGACCAGTGCAATCACTGAATGCACAAGGGATAAAAATGCAGGAATACCTGGCACTGGTGTGATTCTCACCAGTCCATATGGCCCCCATTTCTAGAAAAATGTCCAGACCCTGAAGCTTCTGAGAACTCATGATCTCACCAAAATTTCCCCTGTCCTTTGCCTCTACCCCCTTGTTACTCTGGTATAGCCTGCCTCCCTCTCCAAAGTGTTGTGTCCAAAGGTTTGTACCGAGGTGCCACAGTGAAGAAAGGGATGTCTTCAGGTGCCTTATGTGCATTCTTCCCACTCCAAATCCTGAATTGTACTAGAAGCAAGCCTGGACCAAGAAGCCCACCTCTCCTTGACTGGTGGCTACTGGTGGAGAACAGCTTCCCAGGCCCCTGGGAGCACCCTCCCACCACAGTCACCTCAACAAGTCTCCTGAACTTGCTTGGCACATTGGGAGATGGTCAAAAGTGTCACCCATGTCTATATGTGAGACACGAAGTATGTCATAGAATCATAGAATTGTTAGGGTTGGAAAGGACCTTAAGATCATCTAGTTCCAACCCCCCTGCCGTGGGCAGGGACACCTAACACTAAATCATATCATTCTTATGTCCCCTGAATTCACAGTGCCTGTACATCTCACTGCAGGAGGGAAATAGTCCATCCAACACAGTTCAAAGTTGTCAAATCTGTGCTGGCAGTTACTTACAGTACTCAGTATTTTGGTGCTTTTATAGGTTTCTCAAAGCCCTTTCCTCCCACAAGGGTCCCAAGGTATTTGACGACAGCTGCAAGAAGGTATATGGCAGTTCTTAAAGTACTTTGAGGTAGATCCTGTTACTTCAGATAATTTGTAAGCAGCTATTTTTCCTGTGTAATTCAGCCCTTCCCTTCTCTGTAGTTTTATGCTGTTTTTACGAGTGTTAGCTGCTTTGTTAACAAGTAAGCATTGAAACAGCAAGGCATTAAATGAAGACAGTTGTCCTCTATTTATTCACACTATCCTAGAAATTCGCTACACTTCGTCCTATTTGTACAAGCTCTGCTGAGTTTCAAGTCATAATAGAGCTTATGAGTCCCTGTTCATCCTTCACTACTTTTGCTGTCTCCTTCACTGCACCTTAGAATCACAGAATCATAGAATAGTTAGGGTTGGAAAGGACCTTAATATCATCTAGTTCCAACCCCCTGCCGTGGGCAGGGACACCTTACGCTAAATCATATCACCTAAGGCTCTGCCAACCTGGTCTTGAACACTGCCAGGGATGGAGCATTCACAACCTCCCTGGGCAACCCTTTCCAGTGCCTCACCACCCTTACAGGAAAGAATTTCTTCCTTATATCCAATCTAAACTTCCCCTGTTTAAGTTTGAGCCCGTTACCCCTTGTCCTATCACTACAGTCTCTAATGAAGAGTCCCTCCCCAGCATCCCTATAGGCCCCCTTCAGATACTGGAAGGCTGCTATGAGGTCTCCACGCAGCCTTCTCTTCTCCAGGCTGAACAGCCCCAACTTTCTCAGCCTATCTCCAGGTGCTCCAGTCCCTTGATCATCCCCGCGGCCCTCCTCTGGACTTGTTCCAACAGTTCCATGTCCTTTTCATGTTGAGGACACCAGAACTGCACACAATACTCCAGGTGAGGTCTCACAAGAGCAGAGTAGAGGGGCAGGATCACCTCCTTCGACCTGCTGGTCACACTCCTTTTGATGCAGACCAGGATACAGTTGGCTTTCTGGGCTGCAAGCGCACACTGAAGTCGGCTCATGTTCATTTTCTCATCAACCAACACCCCCAAGTCCTTGTCCTCAGGGCTGCTCTGAATCTCTTCTCTGCCCAACCTGTAGCTGTGCCTGGGATTGCTCCGACCCAGGTGTAGGACCTTGCACTTTGCATAGTTAAACTTCATGAGGTT